TTAGCTTAGGCATTCTGAATGAAACAATTCTAGACAGACGAATTTTGAACAAAAATACTCATAGTACAAATGAATTTGTTGATGTTGTATGATAGGCCAGTCAGCGAGGATTTTAGGGTCCGAATTCTGAACACCTGCACCGATTGACGTGAAATTTTAACAGTGAATATTGATATATGTAAGAAACAAAAGTTACATAGTATCGATGAGTGTTTTCACCCTGGGGGTGAGTACCACCCCTTCTCGGGGGTGAATAATAAATCACTCATTTTAATTACAAAAATCAATAAAGGGATGAATTCTAAGCAAAAGATTTTCTATAACATCTTTTTAGAACATTAATATTTTCCTAGTTATTTAGGATTGAAAATGTTGATTTTTCATCTAAAAACCTTGCGTTTTATCGCAAAACTCATATAAAGCAAAAATGACTCTTTTGGAATAACTAAACGATCCATTTTTTTGTTGATTACCGTAGGTGTAATAATAACCGAGTTATCAATCTGTAAACGTGATTTTTTATTTTTCGAAAACTAAATTGCAACCTTTTACCGTAAAATAATGGTCAAAGAACACGTTTTTCGAAGAAAATAAACCGTTTTTAAAGTGCTTGAAAAGATCTGTTAAATGCTTTCTTAATAAAGTTCGTAGCTCAAAAACTCTCGGAGTTATGTTAAAAATAATATAGTCACCCCATTATTTCGAAAAAAAAATAACAACAAAATCCATGACTAAAATCATAAAAATAAAAACTAAGCGTTGTACTAACAATTGAATCTGCAAGTTCGAGTGGTTTAGAATGCCTAACTTTGGAAAAAAGTTGAAAATAATGAAAAAAATGTATCTTTTGTTTTTTAACAAAATTTAATTTTTCTGACATATCTCAAAAACTAAGCAAGATACGTAAAAATGCAACAGAGGAAAATTGAAGGTCTTTTTTTGCAATATTTATTCTCTCTTTCAATTTTTCTGTAGATCTCTTTATTTCGTAGGTATTACGTTTTTTTTAGTTTGACTTGCACGTAAGGACCACCTTCTTTGAGCCGTTAAAACCCAAAAATCTCGTTAAAATGAAGACTGAAAAAGAGTTCAAGACTGTTCAACTATAGAGGTTAATTTGTAGCTCGTGTAATTTCGTACAAATTGATAGTTTTATTTTTATAGATTTTGTTGTTATTTTTTTCCGAAAAAATGAGGTAACCATTTCATTTTTATCATAACTCCTCGAGTTTTTGAGCTACGAACTTGAAAAGACCTTAAAAAAAAGACATTTAAAAGTCTTTTCAAGCACAAAAACGGTCAATCATTTTCTTCGAAAAATGTGTTCTTTCGCCATTACTTTAAGGTAAAAGGTTGCAATTAGGGAATGCAATCCCGCACCAAAATCTCAATCCCGCAAACCCGCGGGATTAAAGCAATCAATCCCGCGGATCCGCAAAGTTGTGGGACTGTAAACAATAGTCATACATTTGGTCCTAAATGGTACAAAAGGCATTGTACATTTTGCATAGGCCCATAATATATTGATATAGCGTGTATCTTAAACTAGCTGTACAGAAATTTGGACCGATGTATACAGAGTATTCAAAAAATATAATTAATATTATTACTTATTTTATAAATAAAAATATTATTCTGATGTTGAAGTTTTTTTTTAACTTGTGTTAGTTATCTGCTTTTAGATACACTCTATTTGTATATTTTTTGACATATGCAGAATGTACAAAGCTTCTTGTACCATTACATATGACTAAAAATGCATATTTTTCGAAAAAAACGTCGTACTTTCCTTAAAACAAAAAAAAATTAAAAAACCGATCAAATTGTTTTTTCTAATTTCAATACAAATTAGTCGTACTTGGTGAAAATTTCGATTTTTTAAAAATTATTGTAAATTTGCGGTAAAAAAAAATCTTAATCAAATTTTCACACTCTTATAAATTCACTAAATATATTTTCGAAAACCACATAGCATCTTAATCACAATAGATGCATCTAAAACCTGGTCCAAACCGCATCCAAAAATCTTTTTTAGTTCAAGAGATATTCAACTTAAATAAATTTACCCTAAAATTTAGCTTGTCCCGATAATTTTGTCCGGCCACTGTCCGGCGGTTGATTTGACGAAATTGTCCATAAATACTAGTTAAACGCTTTTCTTCACTTCACATACGCCAGAAAGAAATCTAACAACTAACCTGTTTGTTTCACTTATTTTTAATGGCCAAGTAGTAAGGGGAATCCCCCGGGTTCCGAGCGTCGACGCGACGCATCGGCCCGGAACGAAGCGGTTTGATCTTGATTGAGATCGATTCGGTTACCCAGTAGTAATGTGTCGATCCCGCAGATCCCGCACGGTAAGTCCCGCAACTTTGATCCCGCGGAATCTCAGAGGGATCCCGCATTTGCGGGATTATCATTCCCTAGTTGCAATTTAGTTTTCGAAAAATAAAGAATCAAGTTTACAGATTGATGACTCGGCTATTACTACACCTACGGTATACGACAAAAAATGAATTGATTTGTTATTTCAAAAGCTTCATTTTGGCTTTATATGAGTTTTGTGATAAAACGCAATATTTTCGAGTTATTTATAAAAATTGCAGAAAAATATGCAGTTTTTAGATGAACATTTTCAATACTAAATAACTCGGAAAATATTAATTTTCTGAAAAAATGTTATAGAACAATTTTTGCTTAGAATTTATCCCTTTATTGATTTTTCTAACTAAAATGGGTGATTTATTTTTCACCCCCGAGAAAGGGTGGCACTCACCCCTAGGGTGAAAGAACATATCGCTACTATATAACTTTTGTTTCTTACATATATATCTATTCACTGTTAAAATTTCATGTCAATCGGTGCCGGTGTCAAGAATTCGGAGGTAATACCCTATTGTTATCCTCGCTTATTGGCCTATGAAGTTCTACTCTACTTACAATGGTTTTATTCTCTTTTTCATAGCTCGGAAACTATGATTGCTACAGATTATTTCTCTATAAACAAATGAGTGAAAATTACTAGAATAAATACAGTAGAAGCTCGATAGTCAGCTTTTCAAGAACTAGATGTATGAGTACTTGACTGAACTCGATATACAGGGTCTGGCAATAGTGCGTCGAGCATCTGTAGCTTCTAGAATAAAAAATTGGCGCCGGGAAGCACGTATAGCTGCCCATGCTAAAATATGTTAATAAACAGTTGGTAGGCAGTTCTTTTAGTTTCAAAGTAAAGGAATTTTTCCAATTTTTTTTATGTCAAAAACTGCGACTTTGACTGATTTTGATATTATTACAAATTTTGTTGCAAATATTATTCATAATCTTAAATTGAAAACCGCGTTTCGCTAGCTACTGTAATTTTGGAGTAACGATTTTTTAAAAATTTTAACCCCCTCCCATACCCCCTTACCAACCCCCACCCCCACCAAAAACTAATGGCCAGATTCTCGGGTGCCACAGTGTACCAAATTTGGTTACAATCGGTTTAGCGGTTTTTGAGTTATCGTGTTACAGACGGACAGACAGACACCTTGAAAATATTTTGTATTTAGGTCATTTATGACCCAAATAACTCATTTTGAATGAAATTAAAAAAACTTTTTTTTGCCGATCTTAATAGACTACCATACCTATTGGTATGGTCGTCGACTAAAAATAAGTTCGAAATTAAGAAAAAAGCAAAAAAGCATATTTTTTGCAAAGAAAATTGTTTTTCGATTACATTTGGCCTAAAACGGATTTATTGATAAACTGCTTACAAATTGGGACGTAAGCAAAAATGCTTAAAATCCGGTCTCTACACATGATATTAATTAATGCGTAAATTGTACACCTCTATTTATTTTAATGGTGCAAGGACACACTCGGCGATGCGACCCGAGACGCCACAAAAAATTAACGATTTGTACATTGTTATTGGTTAGAACCGTCCTTTTTTGTCACGTCTTGGGTCGCCTCGACGAGTGTGTACTTCCAGCATTAGAGAATCTACGAGATTCTAAAAAAAATATCTATCAGCCACGTACTGTTTTTCAATTCCAACTCTGATAATTTTAATGTTATTATATTTATATAATCCGTTATATGAGTATACTCTATTAGTATAATGTTGAAAATTTATTATTAGTACAATATAACAAACAAAACAAGTATTGCTTTAAAATTTAATTAAACCTGTTGAACATTAATTCACTCACATTAATTTTATATAGCAGGTGAAACAAAATTACTAATTTGTAATACGAGTTAATAACGTTACCCATATTCATTAAAATTAGTACCTAAATAAACCTACAACGCAAACTTCACAACTCCAGTTGCAATATTAATTTATTCGCTACCGTTAAATTCTTGTAAAAACTTATTATAGAAAATAATAAAATAATTTATGTAAAAAAATAAACCCCGACATGCAATTATTGGAAATCGACGTGCCCAAATGCGTTAATAGACATGTCAATCATTTGATCGATGTTTCTAACCACAAAATTTTTGGACATTTCCTAGTTTTTATTTCTATATTTATATTTATTTTATTTTTATTCTTTAGCATTTTCATTTATTTATATTATATATACAGTGGTGAGTCTTAAATAAGTGCAAATATTTCTAAGGATGGTATATTTCGACCCCAGGAACTATGAGGTTTTTTTCGCAAAAATAAATAATATTGAAACTCGTGTATTTTAGAAAACTTTAGAACTCCCTGTTCACCGCAAATTTTCCCACGGTATAATTTCTTAATCTCTGATATTACCACGGTTACTCCACTAAAAGGGATGCAAATGCAGAAAAAATGCAGGGGCTCTCAAAATTTTTAAAAAATAAACTCTTTTTTTTAAATCAAACTTGAATAACTCGGTTAATTTGGACTTATTTCAAAAACGTTAAAGAGAAAATTTGTTTCTTTTATCGAGATCTACCAACCGTAAAATATTTGCACTTATTTAAGACTCATCCTGTATAAGTAAAATCCAAAAGTCTAAATATACTAGAAATTACAAATTATGTCTCCCTACAAATGAAAAAAAATAATACTTACATTGCGCATTATCATAGAGCACTCAATAGAATTTAGGTCACCTTTATTCTTATTATTCATAGATTTTGTCAAAACTTTTGACACGATCCCCCATGCGATGGTATGGAAAGCTCTCAAAGAAAAATGTATTCCGGAAAAACTGGTTAATATAATCAAGGAACTCTACAGAAATACGGAATGCAATGTACTGCACAACGGTAGAACCAGCGACAATTTAGGGACAGGAGTAAAGCAGGGTTGCACATTATCGCCGCTTCTATTTAATATGTGCTCGACAGCGTTTTGACTAAAGCCACAGCAAATATTAGGGGAGTACAATGGACTCTGATATCGCATCTGACGGATCTTGATTATGCTGATGATATCTGTCTCACGACGCAATCCTTCAAAGACATGGAAGTGATGTTCAGACGCCGAAAAACAGAAGCAGACAAAGTAGGATTAAGCATAAACATCGACAAAACAAATCAATGGGCCTCAACACAAATAACAACACTTCATTTAATGTAGGAATAAAAAATGTCGAGAATGTAACAGAGTTTACTTACCTGGGAAGTATTGTAACAGCAAACGGTGGCGCAGACGCGGATATTGTCAGCAGGATCAGGAAGGCGCAGCGAGCCTTAGGCCTACTAAAATCAGTTTGGACCTCCCGTCAGCTCTCCATACAAACAAAATTAGGAATATTCAATTCCAACGTTATACCAGTTTTACTATATGGCTGCGAGACATGGAGAGTGACAAAAATATCTATTAACCGCCCACAGGTGTTTGTCAATCGCTGCTTGAGGAAAATACTACAAATCTTTTGGCCAGATATATATTAATCGGTTTAAAACGTTCTACGTCTTCCGATGCCATCTCTCCATGCCTGTCTGTCTCTCCATGCACCGTCTCCGAGAGATCTTTCCTCCATAAACGTGTCAATCCCTTCCTGCCAACTTCTTCTCGGTCTATCTGGTTTTCTTCTTCCTGTAGGTTTCCAGTTTATAATTTGCTTTGGGATTCTTATTTTTGCCATTCTTTGGACATGCCCGTACCATATGAGTTGACTGTTCTTTATGTCGTCCACTATCGTATGTTTAACTTCCATAATCTCTCTTATGCGTTCATTAGTTATTCGCTCGAGTCTGGATTTGCCTGCTGATCTTCTCCAAAAATCCATCTCTGTAGCTTCCAGCATTCGTTTTGTTGTTTCCTTAATTGGCCAGACTTCACAGCTGTACGTGGTTATACTCTTTATGATAGTATTGTATATTAGAGTTTTGTTTTTGTTGTTTATGCTTCTGTCCCACAGTATCCCATTCAATACCGTGATGGCATTCCTTCCAAGTTGGTTTCGTTCTTTAATTGCTGTATCCAACAGTCCATCATTTGTGATTTGCATACCCAAATATTTGTATTTTGTGCAGCACTTAATTTTCTTCCCTTCTTCTAGCATTAGATCTTGTTGTTCTCCTCCGATACACATATATTCTGTTTTGTTAGTATTGATCTCGAGTCCCCATTTCTGATATTCTTCTATAAGCTTACGTGTCATATAATTTATGTCATCGTAATCTTGTGCTATGATCACCTGATCGTCCGCGAAGCAAAGTGTGTAGAGCATGTTATCCCCTATCGGTACTCCCACAATTCTACATTTTTGCTTCCAACCTTTGAGGACTTGTTCGAGATATATCTTGAACAGTGTTGGTGAAATACAGCACCCTTGTTTCAGACCTTTGGTTCCATTAAATCCTGTTGTTAACTTTTTGCCGACTTTTATTCTAGTTTTTGTTTGTTTATATAATGATTTTACTGCTTTTATGAGCTCTACATTTATATTGGTTTTTTCCATAGCTTCCCAAAGTCTCACAAGGGGAACGCTGTTGTATGCCTTCTACAGGTCCACGAACACAAGATGTAGCTCTTGGTTTATATTGATCTTTTTACTTATTACATGAGTGACTGTAAATAAGTGGTCCACCGTCGATCTTCCGGCTCTAAATCCTGCTTGTTCTTCGGCTTCTATTTCTTGGTATTCGTTTTCGATCCTATTTCTCAAAATTTTTCCATATATTCTACTCACGGTGGCTGTTACTGATATTCCCCTGTAGTTTTCGCACTTAGTACGATCTCCCTTTTTGTATATAGTTGAGAGGTAAGTCTCATTCCATTCTTGTGGTACATCCGTTCCGTTTATGCAGTCCTGGAATATTTTCCTTAAGTGTTCGTACAGTTTTTTTCGGTCCTGATTTAATTAACTCTGCCGGTATATTTCCCGGTCCGGGTGCTTTACGATTTTTTAGTGAGGTACATGCCTTAATTACTTCGTCCATTGATATTCTAATCGGGGATCCCATTGTTCTTATATTTGTCGTCACGTCAGAGCAGTCCATAAATTCGACTCTATTTTCCGTCATAAGATTTTCCATGTATTCTTCCCATTTTTGTGGTGTAATCGGGGAGATGATTTCTTTGCCTTTTCTCTTTCTGACATTTTTTATAAATTTCCAACTTTCTTTGCTTCTTCTACCTCCTATATATGTGTTTAGTTGATTACACTCCTTTTCCCATATCAGATTTTTCTTCTGGCATATTCCTCTTCGTACTTTAGCTTGGGCTTTTTTATATATTAGTTTGTCTTCGATCTTCTTGGTGCTCAAGTATTTTGTATATTTGCGTCTTTTATCCTCTATAATATCCTGTATATCCGTGTCCCACCAGTAACGTTTCCTTTTCCTTTCATTATTGTCGATTGTACCCAGGACCCCAGAAGCTGCTTTGTGTATGCATTCCTTGATATAATAATAATGGTTTTCCAGAGTTTCGAAACGTTGTTGTTGTAATTTTTCCTCTAATCTTTTTCTGTATAACATTTGCACGCTGGGATCCTCGAGCGCTGTTAAGTTGTACCTTCTCTCTTCAATTTCTTTCGTTACATTTTATATTTCTTTATATTGGCCAGATACTATACGCAATACCGACCTGCTTCATCTTACAAACCAACAAGAAGTAGGTATTGAAATTCGCAAAAGAAAATGGGGTTGAATAGGTCACACCTTGCGTAAACCTGATGGTAATTTAACGAGATCAGCGTTGGAGGGGAATCCCCCAGGAAAAAGAAAGCAAGGACGACCTGCTCAAATATGGAGACGTTTCAACAAGTAGGGTGATACTGGATAATACTGGATACACAATATACAATACTGGATAAGCTTCAACAAGTAGGGTCAATATGGAAGGAAGCCAAAACAACTGCCAAAAATAGAACCCGATGGAGAGCTTTCACTGAAGCCCTTTGCTCCGCGTAGGAAATATAGGATCCTATTATACAGATGAAAATGATATACAGGGTGGTTCATTTTAATTATATTTTTTGCTAATTAGTAAAGAGGGAACCTTGCTGCTTTTACCTGCTTAAGCTACTTTTGTGAAACAAAGATATCTGAAACATAATTGTAATTGCAGCAATAAATGTGGCAATTTTATACACCTTTCTTATCTTAGTTGTCTGACAACACGCCATAAAGGTAAAGCGGATCCTTATAAAGCTAAATATATTTTTTAGCGGAACAATTTTTAATACGAAATTAATTTATCTCTGAATAGTACAACATCATAATTTTATTATATGCTTTTCAAACTACAATTCAAAAGTCACGGATAGTATTTATAACCTGACTATTGATGAGAAAATAACAAACGATATTTATAAAAAGATGATTGACAAATGAGATACGAAGAGTCTCTGAAATTGGAACATTTATAACATTTGTCTTGTATTATATTATAGAAACCATAAAACATCTACCTTTAGTACTTTTTCTTTAATAGTCATAAAGGGGAGTAAAAGACTAACCGTGCGAACAAACACTAGAGGCACCACCGATCATCAAATGCTATAAAAATTGCGAAAATTTAATCATCTAATTTTGACACGAGGGGCCTGTAACTTTTTTAATTTTAAGTTTTTGTAAATGTATAAATGTTTTCTTAGTATAAAGTTGCATTATATTAATTTAAATTACATTACATATGTACATATTTAAAATTAAAATATTATGACATATATTTCAGTTGCCGTCTAAAATGTCATCTTGATAACAAAAAGTTAGTTATTGTCAGATATTATTAATATATTATTAGTTAAAATATTAAAATTCACAAGTTATAATTATTAGTAATTAGATAATTCTAGTATACATATTTTATATTATTTCAGAAACAAAAATTTAGGTAACTTTGATATGCAGGTTCAAAACAAAAAGTGCTGTTATATCTATCAGTTTTCATTGTCAACCGCGAAGTTTCAGTGATTTTAGTGTTTTCGGATATTTTTATTTGTAAAAAAAATATTTCGTTTGGATTTCAAAACTAAAAGTGGCAATTTTATTGCAACGTAAGTAAGCGTTTGTCCAATTTGTATTTTACTCTTTTCATACCTACGACAAATATACATACCGGGTGGTGCATCGTCGTTGGAAACATAGGAAATCTCATGCAAATTTTGAACTGTTTAAATATTGGCTCCCCTATTGATTTTACAGCGAAGTCGTAAACACATTTTTTAAAGGTTTATGTATGGTAAATACACATGTCAAATTTGAACAATTTTGGACCAGCCGATTTTGAGTAATTTAAGAAATATTGAATCTATTTTTAAATTAAAACCGAACAGGTAACAATCAAACACCATTCAAAAACTGACATACCTTAGGTTTACAAACTATGAATTTGTCATTGTCAAAAGCAATTCAATTTTAATAAAATTTTAATATTCAGGAAAAATTAACCGAAATATGTCAGATACACTATCTAAGCTATTTCCCGCGTATTTTATCATGTTCAATTTTTCTTTATGTGTATAACAATAACTTATTACTAGTACTGAATATTTGAAAATGACGCTGACAACTTAAGGAATGTCGATTTTTGACTGGTGTTTAAAAATCGATTAAGTTTTTCTCAAATTACTCAAAATTGGTTTGTCCAAAATCTTTGGCCTTTAAAAGGTCTATTTACGACTTCGCTATCAAATCATTAGGGGAGCCAATATCTGGACAGTTCAAAACTTGCATGATATTTCCTATTTTGTGTCTAGCCCCAGCAAGGCAACTATTAAGCTTGACCAATCGTTACGTTGGCAAACCATCACGGCAGGAAGTAACGCCTGGCAGTTTTGCAAGAGCACCTGTGGGTCCGTGACTGAGACCATAGCTTCGTGAGCGAATGGTCCGTGGTTCAATTCTCAGGCCGGAAGAAAACTTTTTTATATTTTTTTTTGCTTATAGCGTGATCTGATTTCGTTGCTTTTTTTGGTTGGGTTTGGTTTGGTTTCGTTATTTGGAGGGTGTTAAGTCATTGGTTAGTTGGTTATTTGGTGGGGTTGGTTGGTTTTTACTAATTTATATTTGTTTTTCAGATATTCATTGATTTTCTTTATTTGTTTGTAATAAATGTCTATAGTACGCCACAGCACGTGATTGGTCAAGCTTAATAGTTGCCTTGCTGGGGCTAGACACAAGTTATTTTCTGTCTCCAACGGCGATGCACCACCCGGTATACTGAAATGTTATAATTCGTTTTATTTAAAAAATGTTTAAAAACAAGCCTGCAATTGACGTACCTAATTATTATGTAATATATTCGATTTAAATGTAATATATTACTTTACAATTAAAAAAATGTAAATGTAAAAAATGTAAAATAAGTGTTTTATTTTGCTGTGTAACACCAAAGGTTCCAACCCTCAACTGTAATGTAAAAAATGTATTAAAAATATATGTATATAAGCATTAATTGAAATGTTTAGTATGCGAACAAACACGAGAGGCGCTTTATTTACTTTGATTTGTTAACATGACAGATGAAGTTCTAAAGGGGGATGTTTTGTGATAGAAACTAATAACGATTATGCACGGTCCAATTCGGTTGGACGGTTCGGTCGAATTATCCAACTTAGATGAAAAGGGCGGTCTGTAGGGAGTATCGTGTTGTAGGTTGTATCGTGTGAAAGACTACGAGTATTGACGGCAATCATCCGAATTTAGTCAGTTGTTTTGATAGTACATAATGCATGTTGATGTTTATTCCAGCATAATCAAAATTGACTAAACTTTCGAAATCAGTTATGCAAAAAATATTTGTTTATTTAGTATTTGGAAGCCTTTCCAAACAAAATGTCAGTAAAATTTTTCTGCGAACGTACATAATTTTCAGTTTTTCAACTATTGAATAGCTGAAACCAGTTACAGTTATGAAAACAAGTTTCTGTGTTTCATTCTAGGCATTTTCTAAAGATAAACATCCAAAAATCTTCTAGCGGAAATGTACCATTTTATATTTATTGATAAAAATATTGTAATATAATATTTCAAGATTTACCTAAACCGGCACCCGGCCATCGGAATTCGTACATAAGCATTTTCGACAGGTTTTTTGATGTCGTCCAGGTAGGAGCTTTTTCTTTAAGTTAGGTTAATGTCTAGCTGTAGCTAGAGCTATTAAAGAAAATTGTTCTTAGAAAGATAATCAGGGAAACACAAAACTAACCCAAAACACCAAAGATCTGATAAAACAGCGTAGAGTTATGATAAACAAACACTCAGATGATTATGGAAAACTTAACAAGAAGATATCAAAAGAGATAAGGAAAGACATCAGAACCCACAATACCAACAAAATAACGCATATAACATCATAACATTGAGTCAAGGATTAAAAGTTTTCAAAAAAGAGGCAAGCATAGGGAGAGCACTAATTCATAAATTGCAAAACGCCGAAGGCCAGATAAAATCAAATAGAGCAGATATTCTGCGTGTTACGGAAATGTTCTACCAGCAGTTATATGACAACCCAGACCCTAGAAACTCGTATAGTACTATACCAACTGTGATGAATCAAGGCTCAGAAGAAATCCCAGATATTACTTTAGATGATCGGCGGCATTAAACTTTATGAAACACAATAGGTCTCCCGGTGACGACAATATAGCTATTGAAGCCATTAAAGAAGGAGGAGAAAATATTCTCAAGGCCTTGGAAATATGATTCAACAAATGTCTTGTCGAAGGAAGAACGCCATCAGAACGGGATAATGCCAATATAATCGTATTACATAAAAAAAAGGGAACAAAACAAACTTTACCAACTATCGGCCTATTAGTTTACTGAGCCACACGTACAAATTATTAACAAAAATCCTCACAAATCGTCTTTCCCTAAAACTAGAACAATATCAACCAAAAGAACAGGCTGAATTTAGATCGAACTTCGGTACAAATGACCATCTGTTGGTGGTGAAGTCCCTAATAGAAAAATGTGTTGAGTATAATAAACCCTTCATTTTAATATTTGTCGACTACGAAAAGGCATTCGACTCTATCGATCCACACAAATTATTCAAGGCCCTAGCCGAATGTCGTATAGACACCTGTTATACTAACCTTTTAAAATATATATATGCGACCATGCAACAGCATCTGTATCGCTACATGAAAACACAAATAATTTCGTATTAAAAGAGGAGTACGGCAAGGCGATACCATTTCCCCCAAATTGTTCATAGCACTATTAGAATATATGTTCAAAAGACTAAACTGGGAGGAAATGAGCATTAATGTTAACGGGGAAATGCTCAATAACCTGCGTTTTGCTGATGACTTGGTGCTGATTACAGACGAAGCGAAATACACGAAGCAGAAAATATTCTAGAAACACTTAAACGGGCGTCAGATCAAACTGGACTACGCATAAATTATTCAAAAGCAAAACTAATGACCAATCTTATCAGTGGAAATGACTCGGTGTACGGAGCAAATATAGAACAAGTATATTCATATAAATATCTGGAGCATGAAATAACAATTGGTCGCGAT